TGAACACTTATATGAATGGAGAGGCTGCAAAGATCCAGCTCATGGTTGAATAAAATTCATTTCAGACTCAGCAACTTACTGTGGATAGAGAGACAAGGTAGCTAACCAAAGACTCCTAATGAATAGGAGCCTGCTCTTTCTGTTCATCTGAATCAGCCTCTAGGCAGAGAATTCAATTTAATTTTTCTCCCATCAGTCAAACAGAAGAGCTGAAAAAGCAAAACCAGAGACAAGGGAGGCAGGAGGTGGAACAGGCTTGGATGAGGAGATCAGCAGCTGATCTCTTGTTCTTTCTCTGTTAGGAAGATCCATGCTTACCCCAAGAGTGAGGTCCAGCAGAAGCTGTAGTGGATGTAGTTAGCCACTGCTAGGTCCTCCATGATGGAAGGATGGGTGATTCCCCGCACGGGATTGAGACTCCAGCAGTGTCAGTGTGACCCTCAAGGTTCTTCCCTGGCTTGCCTTTAATGTTTACAGCAGAGAAAGACACAGTCATGCTGGGTTTTATTTGAAGGAAATTGGGGCTCTGATTCTATGATTGGAATCTGGACTGATAGAGAGTCTGATATCTCTGTCAGAGATATGCTGGAGCTATCTAGCATATCCAGCTCATACTGGAGCTAAAGGAGGCTCCATCTGAAGTCTCAGCTATATTTAATTGGGAAACATGTGTCTTAATTCTGAGCATCTGTCCCTCAGACACCTGCCATGGGAAGGAGTGTGATCCATTTCTTTTTTTTTTTTAATTGTTAAATGTTTATTTTTATTTTTGAGAGGGGGGAGGTAGTTAGTGTGAGCAAGGGAGGAGCAGTGAGAGAGGGAGATACAGAATGTGAAGCAGGTTCCAGGCTCTGAGCTGTCAGCACAGAGCCCAATGTAGTGCTCGAACTCATGAACCACAAGATCATGACCTGAGCTGAAGTCGGATGCTCAATCGACTAAGCGACCCAGGTGCCCCAAGAGTGATCCATTTTTTAACACTCTGCATGGAAATCTCAGTCCTTGCAATAAAATATAAGGATATATCCTTTCCAATGCAATGGCCTGGTCCTCACTAACTCTCTCTCTCCTCCCAATTCCTTCCCCAATAGAAATATATATACAGATAAATGTAGGATCAGCCACAAATAATTGGATGGATAGAAAGAGAGACAGAAAAATGGACAGACAACCATTTTTTTAAGCCAATGACAGACATCACATCTCTCCTTCCTCCTAAAAACCTCCCCATGGGGTGCCTGAGTGACTCAGTAGGTTAAGTGTCCAACTTAGGCTCAGGTCATGATCTCATGGTTCATGAGTTCAAGCCCCTCATCAGGCTCTGTGCTGACAGTGTGGAGCCTGCCTGGGATTCTTTGTTTCCCTCTCTCTCTTCCCCTCTCCCATTCTCTCTCTTTCTCTCTGTTTCTCTCATTCTCTCTCTCTCTCTCAAAATAAATAAATAAAAACTTATAAAGGCCTTGGCCATATTGACACTTTGCACTTACTGTTTTCTTCATCCAGTAAGATCTCTATCCACCTTCTGTCCTGTTCACACCACCTGTCTCCAAAGGCTTAGCTCAAGCTGTGTTGCTCCTGGAAGGCTTATTGTTCCATTTCCATTTCTGTTAATCTTGCCTGTTTCTCAACTTTTGAAGCTTTAACTTTTGGCCCATTTTCCTCTTTGATGTTATGTATATGTCTCTGACAGTCATCTATGTATAAGTGGAGAGATGGGCAAGATTAACAGGGGTAGAAATGGACCAATGAGGCTTCCTGGAGAAATAGAGATAGCTGGTGTGGACAGAATGGGAGGCAGATAGAGATTTTGTATGTATATCCTAGGTTCAGGAAGGGGTTGTCATTTTGATTTCCGAAGAATTGGATGTGGCTCTGTGTGTTCTACAAGACAATGGTCTAGAATTAGTTGCTCTCTTCACTAAGCTGGTGAATGGAGGAAGGACACAGGGTGATGGGGAATAACATTGCCTGATTTTCCCATATGCAGAGTTGAATACACATAGTAGTTAGTACTTACTGATGGAATGAGAACCTAGTTTGGGTAAAGACTGTGAAAGTTGGTAGAGGGTGAAGTATAGTATAAACTGTGATCAGTTAAATCAGGATTGACATCCTGGTTTTCACATAGTTGTTACAGCCATGTTATAGAATCAAGCATCAGTATCTTCATCTATAAAATGGGAATGCTAATATGTCTCCTTAAGTATTGTATAGGATATTTCGAGTATACTATATATGTATTTACATGTATATATGTATGTATGCATATGTTATAATATATCACAACACACACAGGTACACATCTATCTGCCATTTACTGGACAAAAAGGAATATTGTTATGTAGTTTATGGTGCCAATGTCCAATAAACATTTGACTTAGATTGAAATGGATTAAAACTTCTTCAAGCCCCACAAAGCTTATTTGAGATTACCAGACGTTCATACAAAGAATTATTTCTGTTTGAGTTGCATGACTGCAGCCTCAGAATTTTGCAGATGGCAGCATTATGTGGGTGTAGTGTGCCAGGCAGCATATTCCTGTAGGTGAGCACTACTGGGGATGTGATAATGGGAAGATACTTCACCTGACCCCATTTCTATAAACTTGGGGCCCATCTGCTTCTGCCTTTCCCAGTTTCCCCACCTGTAAAAGTGTGTATAACATAAGCAGAATAGAATTCTCATTATAAACTAGACACCATGATTCCATGGAAGGAGATGCGTGCTATGCATTAAAAAAAAAAAAAACCTTAAATACTAGTTACTTTGACCAAAATGTAACTTTGGTCAAGTTTTTCCAAGACCAACTTTCATTAACTTTGAAATAGGTTTGTGTGCTCACCTGTGATGTGCCAGACATCGTATAACTGCTGATACATAAGGGTGAATTGTGCATGATCCAGCTCTTCTTATGACTCACACTCTGATGGAGGGAGGGGCATGCCAACCAGTAGTGGCTTGGTGTGAACTGCTTCTTAGAGGTAGACAGTAAAAATAGTAATGGTACCCTCTGGGAGTGGTGGACTATGTTTATATATTGAAAAATGATTGGAGCACCTGAAGGGTTCAGTAAGGTAAGCATCTAACCCTTGACATCAGCTTGGGTCATGATCAAAAGGTCATGAGATCGAGACCTGCGTTGGGCTCAGCACCAATGGTGTGGAGCCTGCTTGGGATTCTCTCCCCCTCTCTCTCTCTCTCTACTCCTCCCCTGCTCTCTTTCTCTCAAAATAAGAAGGTGAATGAGTGAATACACAAACTTAAAAAAAAAAAAGAAAATGTTTGGGAGCAAAGATTCAAGTTAGTTATAACTGCCTTGCCTTACTGTCATTGTCCTTGTAAGACTCAACAGTATGTGAAAGAGCAATGTGGTCCATCTATTATTATTATTATTATTTATTATTATTATTATTATTATCACCACCATTATCAATCAGGTAGAGATATTGTACTTCCAGATATACACTTAAAAATAAACCTCATACTCTTGGCTAGTCTCTTATAGGAATGTTGGCCTTTCCCTTATGTGTTAAAAAAGACTCAGACTCTACATCCATAAAGTAAGTGAATGTGGAATCTGACTTTGTTTGCTATGCTGGGAGTTCTTCATTCTTCCAAAGTCTTGAGGCTCTTCCAGAATTTTTCCTCCTTTCACAAATTACTATCTATACTGACTTGCCTGTTTAATTATTGAGTTATGCAACAGATACTTAGTGAACACCTTGTATGTATTTAAAGAATATAAATACAACTAAACAATACTGACAGATCTGAAAGACATAACCGCATAGTACCTTATCGTAAGTGCTCAGTGGAAACCAAAGTTGAGTGCAGTGAATTGAGAAGTACAAAAGATGAGTGGGTTGAGGTGGACAGAAAAGGATCTGGGGAGGAAGCCACACCTGTGGGTGCATGGGTGGGTCATGTTTACTTAGGCATAAGCGTGGCCCTATCTCTGTGAAGACAAGGGAGTATAAATAAGCGTGGTATCAGGGCAGCTGGGTGGGCTCAGTTGGTTAAGCATCCGACTTTGGCTCAGGTCATGATCTCATGACTCAGGAGTTCAAGCTCCATGTCGTGCTCTGTGCTGACAGCTCAGACCTTGGAGCCTGCTTTGGATTCTGTGCCTCCCTCTCTCTGCCCCTCCCCCACTCATGCTCTTTCCCTCTCTCTTTCAAAAATAAATAAACATTAAAAAATAAATAAATAAGTGTGGTGTCTTTATTGACATTGAAGAGTCCATTTCATTTAGATTATATGTTGGAGCAGTAAGAGATAAAACTTCAAGAGTACAATATTTTGCATATAATACTGGCTCAGATAGCAGCTGATGAGTATTGTTACCTGTGTTTCATTTCCCTGAGAACACAGAATCTACTTCTTTATCTTCATATCCACCAGAGTGCTTTATGTATAGGCGATATTAAATAAATAAATTTTAAGTAAATTTTGTTGAATTGTTTTAAATGTAGCTAAAGACTTCAGGAAGTTTGGGGGTGAGCCTGGGTGGCTCAGTCAGTTAAGCATCTGATACTGCTTGATTTCAGCTCAGGTCATGGTCTCATGGTTTGTAAGTTTGAGCCCCATGTTGGGCTCTTGGGATTCTCTCTCTCTTCCTCTCTCTCTGCCCTTCCCTTACTTTCTCTCAAGGATAAATAAATAAACCTAAAAAATCTTTTTTAAAAAGACTTCAGGGGATTTGAAGAAAAATAAGATATAATTTTCCAAAAGGTTTTATCCCTGAAGGAGAGAATGATAAATGGCATCATAGAGGATGTACACTCAGCTCAAAAGCACCAGTCAATTGAATATATGTTGGGCACCTACTTGGTGCTATAAGGCACCATAATAAGCATGGCTCAGTTCATATATTTTCATCTAGGTAAAATGGGTGTCTATTTGGGTGTGCTGGAACGTCCTTATCCAGGGGAATGCAGCATGTATTTATGTTGAACGGTTCCCTTGATGTTTATGCTTTCCTCACTTCATTGTTTTGCAGCTTTACAGCTCCATGGACTTTGGAAGACGGTGGCAGCTCATGCATGAACGCATCACACCCAACAGGTTTTACTGGTAAGCCTCCTCGGCAGACTCACTACCCTCTTGGATAAAGACTAGTCAGACAGCATAACACTCTAGACAATACTGGCCACCTTCAGCACTTGATGATAGATGTCTCGCCCTTTGCTACTTGGTGTGGTTCGTTGACCGGCAGCATCAGCATCACCTGAGAACTTGTTAGAAATGCAGACTCTCAGGCAAGACTTCCTGGGTAGCAATCTGCATGTAACATGGTCCCTAGTGATTTAGTGTGTACGTTAGGGTTTGAGAAGCCCTGGGCTAGGGTGCTCTATGAGAAGGTCATGACCAGGTGCTCTTAGCTATGTATTCATCTCCCTTGTTTTGGGAAAAGTATCTACTTTATGTACCCATTCTAAAAGCAGTATTTCCTAAAATGTACTCTGAAGAATACTAGTTCCACAAAAGGCTTCTCCTTCGATAAGCATTTCTATGGTCAAATGATTTTAAGTAATTATTATTTAACTCTGCCTTACTGAAGATGCAAGATTCATGTTAGGATATTTAAGACTCTGGAGAATCCCCAAGTGAAGAGGTCTACGAAGTATTCAGTCACTGATTTCCAAACTTATTTCACTATAGAATCCTTTTCTCGTGTCACAAATGATAAATCCTTCAGAACAACTTCTGTGGAGCACATTTTGAAAAGCTTTTTTTTAAGAGTGAATATATGTGCCAAATGGAAAATTAGACCCCCTCATCAGAAAGTGTTTTTAATAATTGTACATAGTATTTTTACCTTGTTTGCAGCAAAATAAACTTTGTTTAGTATAATTTTATATTTTATTTTTTCCTGCTGCAATATGAGAATGTTTCTTATTTATATCTTGCTTTCATTTCAGCAGAGGTATGGCCAAAGGAATAGAGATTAGGAAGCATGCACCAAGGTGGTTAATATGCGTAATTATCTGCTTAATTAAAATAAAAACAAAATTAATCTTTGAAAGTAGTCTCTATTCCATATTTCTTTCTAACTACCTTAGTTCAGTACCCTTAGAAAGTCATGAAATGGGGGACACTTGGGTGGCTCAGTTGGTTGAGCATCTGACTCTTGATTTCAGTCCAGGTCATGATCAGGGTCATGTCATCAAGCCCCGCATCAGACTCCCTGCTTAAGACTCTCTCTATATTTGCTTCTCTCTCCCAAACTCTAAAATTAAAAAAAAAAAAGTAATTAACTTATGTCTTATACAAGGTGGGCATGGTGTGTATGTGTCTATGTGCATGTGTGTGTAATGGAGGGTGGTTATGAGTACTTTGTACATATATATATTCACACCAACATCTTTGAAAGCAATGGCTCTATCCAGTTCCCTCTGTACCCACAAAACTATTACCAGAATTAAAAAAGATAATTATAGAAGCAAGTTGTGAAAACACACTGTATATTGTGTACTGATTATTCACAGTGCGGGCAACTGGGAGAAAACTGAGGTGAGGGAAGAGCTCTTGACTCTACACCTGGACTATCCAAACTTATTTTGCCCTTTTCTTTTTTTTTTTTTTTTTATTTTATTTTATTTTTTTTTTATTTATTTTGCCCTTTTCAAACCAACTATTATTTGGTCTGTACTATTATTACACTTAATATTTGATCTGTATTTAGGGCTATAAGATTTTTTAATAGACTAAAGCACAAAAGGAAATATTTATTTCTCTGATATTCCAGCTATATGACTACAGCCTTTTGCTCATCTCAGAGGGACCAGTTTCTCAGTGCGCCATCATTCAAAGGTCCATCAAAAAGGGGAAAAAAAATCCTCTGCTATTTCTTGAGATGGTGTGGCTGTTGGCTGACTAGGAAGTCAAGTTGATGGAAAAGGAAAGTACAATAGACTGGATAAGCCTTGTCATCATTTCTGAAGGAAATTAAATTAAGTGGATGAGGGGCAGCATTTTCCTATATTTTGCAAAGAGCAAGAAGAGAAGCTTCCAGCTGCGGTCTGCCCTCCTCCTTCCTTTGTGTAGCAGAAAGAATAAATCCCCAGGTCCTGATAATTGTGTTTCATCTCTCCTGCACTCTGTGCTTCTTTCATATATGCCCCATGGGGAAATATAAAAGTTAGTGCCCGTGCTGGCTAGCCAAGTGGTAGCTAGAAATTCCATCTTTGTAATTATCACTTCTTCGTTTCTGATGTATAATTGCCATGATTATTCTTCTAGGTGTCACAGGAGTTGTAGTGGAAGAGCTCACTTTACACAGATCTTTTTTTTCCCCCAATGACAGAATCCCTGTCTGTCTCAGACTCTAACCCATTTATGTTGAAGAGACATGACCTATGTGGGTTAGGAGTAGAAACACTCCTTCACTCGGCACTTCCTTGAGGGAAGACGAAGTGTGTATCTGTGTGCCGAGCTCTGCTTTGGCTGACAGAGGGACTCTTCAGTCTCTGGTTCCCTCATCTCTGTAATGGGAACAATATTATTCTTGTCAATTTCATAAGGTTACTGACAGGACCAGATATGATCAACTGGACATCTGGCAATTTCATGTCTTCAGTTTCATATGACATTTGTAATTTGTACATTATAAATTGTTGAGAATTATGTTATTAACAGTTCCAAACACCATGACACCTAAGTGCTTTGTCATTTTTCTGGTACACAAATTTCATATTCCATGCATGATAAGTTTGTATACCTGTGGTCATCTGATAATAATTGTTTGGATCTAATTTACTATCAAATATTTACTTCTCAGCCTAATTTCCCACTGCCCTCTGTTCTTTATAATACTCTTCATAATTCTTATGAAATGGTAAAACAAAAACAAATCAACAACAAAAATCCCTAAAACTACTACTCTGGGAGGGATGGTGGAGAGTGAAGCGGTACTGGCGACAGTGGGGACACACTAGAGGGAGTTCAGTCATGCTTAAAACAAGATACTGAGATCAAGGATGTTGTTAGTACTTTTATCTTCCATGAAGACAGAGTGAATGTACAATTCATGGTAATATTGCCCAAATATTGTTATCTATAATTTGGAGGTCTGCAATTATCTAGGGAAAGATCCTTCATGGATAGATTTCTTCCCCCAAGCCACCTTCAGTTGATGGAAAGTTGCACCTGGCGGGGATTTGTGGGAAGAACACTGTGATCCAGAGTGATTTTTGCCAAGGGTCATGGAGGAAGAACCGACCACACACATGCCTCACAGTTGCTGTAATGGCTGTGAAACGTGTGTTAGGTATCGTAAAGGGCTGCCATTATTATCCGTTTCCTCCTTAGTGCCCCACAGTGCCTTTGAGTTTGGCCGGGCGTGGGGCAAAATATTTGATGGCAGCAATAATAAAAGCTTCATCTGGAGGTAAAATTTTCTTTATAAGTTCCAGATGTTGTCACCCCATCAAGAGAGGTCACCTAGTCTTACATTATGGAGTGATTCAGCTATGTGATGCATGCCCAAAGAATAAGATCGACTGACATGAAAACTCCTTCTTTGTATGTGACCCTTTACTCATTTGATACCTCGTTAACAGGCAGATCAACAGGCCTGTCTTGTGTTCCCATTTATCACTCCAACTGCTTCAGCAATTATAGTTTGCAAGCAGAGCACAAAAGAGGAATATGTGTCTTAACATAATCCCTTTCTAGTCTGTTTGGGCAGAGCTATCATGGGGGGAAAGTGTGTATTTCTTTTGTTTTGTTTTTGTTTTTGTTTTAATATCCTACTGAGCTGCAAATGAATAGTATTTCCACTCTTCCATTGGGAGATATTTAACAGGCAGGAACATTCTGCAGTGAGAAGATTGTTTTTTTGCACATCCAATGTGAATACTTGTTGTGGTTCCCAGCTTTGCCTTTGTGGCCCCTCACCCTCCCTAGGTATTCACCTTCCTCTGGTGCCTCTGGTCTCTGATGGCATTTGCTTGAATAGTGTTGTGAAAGAGAGAAAGAATATCTCCAATATCTCTTCCTTATTAACTTCCCTTGATTATTCTGTCTCCTGAAAGATCACGGTCCATCATTGCAGGAGGGTATTCTGATAAAGTACACACACTGAGGTATCAGGGACTTTAAACTCTTACTCCTTTTCTGGGCTGTTTGGGTTGCAGTGTGTACTGGTATTGAGAGTAAGAAACCCCATAAGAAGTCAATAGATGTAGTACTAGTTTTAGATCAGCCCACTTTAGAGGGCCCAGGAAGAAGCTTCCTTAAGGACTGTTCTTTTGAGCTGTTATGATGCCTGGTTACAGGCAGACCAGTGGCTGCTGTGTAGGGACAGTCAAGACGGGCTCCATGTCTCTATTGTACTTTGATTGAGATCAGTGTAGCCACTGTAGAGTCCTGATGATTGTTGTGCCGGCAGCTTCTCTTCTGCTTTTTCAAAAAGACCACGAGGGAAGGTAGGAGAATGAAAAAGTAGAGCGGTTCCTCCAGGTGAGTGTAGATACGAGGTCCTAGGAAAATGTCTTTTAAAGGAGAAAGTGATGGAATGGGAAAAATAAAAACCAATAGACGAAAAGTATTCTCATTACAGTCTTGCCTTTCCAAGCTTTTATTGTTCTTATTTTCCCCAGTCTCTTTTTGTCTGCATATGCTCATTTATACATAGCCTATACACATCAAATGTGAATGTCTCCAGTCTTAATTTTTCTCCTCTTAATGTTCTATTAGAACAGTTTTTATGTTATTATAAGACCTTTATAACCATCATTTTTAATTGTGTATGCAAGACTTCATTATCTAATGATACATACTTTATTACTAGGTTTTATTTTTATTGGATATTGGAAATTTCCACATTTTTCATTACCATAAATAGCAGTTTCATCAATATTTTATGCATATGTCTTTAATATCTAGGATTGTTTTCCTGGACCAGTGTCTAGGTAGCCCAAGTAGAAACTTTGGTTGTGTTTTTCCCAGTCTCAGCAGAGTATCACATTTCAGTGATTATGACCCAATTTCAATACTGAAAGCATTTCAGAACAATGCCACTTTTTACTGAACACTTTCTTAACTGGGTTACAAAGAAGCATTATATCACA